ACTGGTGCCTCATAAAACCAGTTGTTCTCAAGTTTTTATTTGTTAAATGGCGATTGTAATTTTTTCTTGGGTGTGAACGACACTGCAGTGGTTGAAAATATTGGATATCAGGATAACAAGTCTTTATATATAATGTACACTACCCCAGGTAAAATAAAAACAACAGTCTTTGTGTGCATAAAATTTCATTGGGCTGATGGAGAATCTAAATGTTTGCTTTAATCTTTGCAGATATCAGTGGGAACGGCTTCATCCACACCAATGATTTAACAGATGTGTTGAAGGCAGCCAATCTCCCTCTCCCAGGTTATAAAGCCAGAGAACTCATTCAGAATTTGACAACCACAGGGGATGGCAGGATCAGTTTTGATGAATTTATTTCAGTAAGTAAGATGTTATTTATTTCAGTAAGTAAGATACCAGGCAGGATGCTCAAGGTGGATCCCAGGGCACAGCAGAGGCACAAGCATAGGGTCTCATGGGCACCTAGTTAATCCAAGGAGCCCCCTTTCTGGAGAAGATGAGAGCAGGAGGTAACGAAACTAGAAATCCTGTAATTAACTGGGACAAATTACACAAATACAGGTGTGTATTGAATAGAGTTAATATCTTTCCATTTGGTTGGTACAGCATAATGAAGTTTTTCTGTTATAAGCTGTGGAAATATTATGTTCTGGCTAGATGGTTAGGAAAAATATCAGCAGATTGCAACTGAAAACTTTATGGGGCATTTTTTCCATTAAAAAAACTGCTTCTTTTTCTGTTCTGAACTAGGACAAAAGCAAATGTTTAAATAGTGGAATTTCCCTTGGGATGGAGAAACAGTTTTTTACTTGTTCTTCAAACCAAAACTGTTAAAGGCCATCCTTCTCCCGCACATCTTAGCTCCATGGTTTCATACCATATTTGTTTCTGTTACTTGGGTGATCTTTTTTCACTGCTTTGAAAACATAAAAGCTGTGTATGATCCTGTTCTACTGATAGATACATAGATTTTACGCAGAAACTCACTGAATAATGCTCAAGTTGTGCTTCCCTATGTGTGAAGCAGAGAGGGTGAGTCTCCTGGCTCAGGAACTCACTGGTTTAGCTTGCTTTACTTCTCTGAAATTTTACAATTTTCTGTTGTGCTTGAAAGATTTTCCAAAACCTGAAGAGTGATGATGTGGCTAAGTCATTCCGAAAACAAATCAACAAAAAGGAGGGAATCTGTGCTATCGGTGGGACGTCCGAGCAGTCCAGTGCTGGCACACAACACTCTTACTCAGGTAGGTACAGCTGTCCTGTACTGATAGCAGCTAGGAACAAGTGTGCCCTTGGAGATCATCTGCACCTTGTCTTGATGCAAGCCCAGGTCCTCTGGCGTTGGTGAGCTTCAGTGGCTGTTCACGCCAGGCTGGTGCAAGGCAAAGGGTTGTGAAGATTACAAAACACCTGAGCAAGATCTTTGTCAAAAATCGTGTGAGCTGGTTTACTGGGGTGGGCAGAGCTGTGGCTATGAAAGGAAGCTCCAGCTGGCTTAGCTTCCTTTACTATAAAAGCATTGCAGCTTTGCTGGAGAACAGCCCCCCAGTCTCTGTAAGCTCACCTGTAGCCAAATGGTTCCTGACCTTTTTCTAAAGAGGGTATGACCCATCAGGGCTCTTCTTCCAGCCTGTTTCTGAACATGTGGGGCAGTCATGGTTGCTTCTGCTGCCTCCTGGGCACAGCCCACTCTGAAGCAGCTTCACAGAGAGGAGGTCTCGCCCTTGGCTTTCTTCTCCAGGGGCAGGGGTGGGGAGCTTTCTCAAGGAAGGAAGAGCAGAGGATGCTTCCAAAGTCTCCACCTACCTAAGCACAGAGGACACCTTCTCTGAGCTACTGGGGTTGGTGTGAGCTGCTGCTGGTATAGGATAGCTACGTTACAGTCCTGCTGGACTACAAGGAACATTTGCCCATTACCCTCTGAATGCTCCTTGTCAGAGTCCAATAAACCATGCCCAGGCTCTTCTAGATATTCCACACATGAAGGGTGTAATGTATGATACAGAATTCACTTATTTGAACTTATTTGAACTTACGTGGGATTTCAATTTAGCAGAGTGATACAACAGTGCACTAAAATCATAGTGCAAGTACAAATTACGCTTAGCAGAGCATAGCAGCTGCAACATACACTTGAATCACCTGAACTTTATTGCCAGTCTCTATAATATGCCTGCCCTTATGACACTGTGCCACCCCAGTCAGTGGGAAGGAGTATGAAAGGAGTGAGTATTAACCAGCTCAAGTCCATTGCTGTCTTCAGCTCATTTGTTTGTCTCCTTAGAGCCTTCTTCCCTTGTAGGGGTTTGTTGATCAGTCACACTGATAGAAGAGTCTTCTCCCCCAGGAGTTCTGCCTTTGTAAGTAAAATGATGGTCGAGGTATTGCACAACAAACTCATGTATTTAATGTTGTGTCCACAGAGGAAGAAAAGTATGCCTTTGTCAACTGGATTAATAAAGCCCTTGAGAAGGACCCTGACTGTAAACACGTGGTCCCAATGAATCCGGAAACAGATGACCTCTTCCAGGCAGTCGGTGATGGCATAGTGCTTTGGTAAATAACACCTATCTTTCTTACAAATGGGAACTGTGAGACTGCAGAAGCTCACACTTCTGCTTAAATGCAAGCTGCTGACTTCACATTAAGCTCATGAATCTTTGCGGATTTTTACTTCTTTTCTCTTTAAAAAGATAACATTTCATGTTAAATGAGATTTTTCTTTGCTTCCATACCCTTGCAATAAGATTAAGTCAGTGAAATTTGAGGAGCTACTTGAGTTTATTTTTGTCCAAGGACATTTGGGGGTTCACACAAAGCAGCATGATAGTGAGTGCTTTCACATAAATCTTCGGCACAATAAACTTCTTGCAAAACTTCACTTCGTGGCATTCTTGGCCTCACCCCTATAGTACAATCTGCATGTGACTCAAAATAATTGCTCAAATATTGTGTATCTCCCCCATGTGTATACATGTAAAACAGATGCAGACTATCTATATATGTTCAGTAGCCCTCCAGCTTTTTGAGTTGTCCTACAGCGTAGTGACAAAAGCTATATTGTCTTGTGTGTGCACACAGCTATAGGTTTATTTCTTCTTGTTTCTTCTTTTATTTCCAGTAAGATGATCAACTTTTCAGTGCCAGATACCATTGATGAGAGAACAATCAACAAAAAGAAACTCACGCCCTTCACAATACAGGTACTAAAATGTAATAAGATTCTTCACTTTTCCCCATAGGATGCTTTGATAGAGTCACTTAGGGCAAAGGCTGGAGATACCATGGTCCTGCGCAACACAATCAGGCAAATATGTTTGTGGCAAAGTGAGATGCTCAGGTCCACATCATAAAACATAGAGACTTAGATTTTCTGTTTCTTTCCAAACATGCGAGCAATCTGACTAAACAGTGTTTGTATTTGCACTTAGCGCAATGTATAATGTTTACCAGTTCAAAGCTTTAGATACCTTTGTAGTAGATGCCATACGAATGCAAAAGGAAGTAGATAACATGGTGACCAATTCCAGTTGGAGTAGCTCTCAGAAGGCTGAAGCCCACATCTGCAGGCATGGCCATGGATTTGAATTCACAGCTGTTGTGTTGCAGTCTGATGTCCTCACCAAAATATTAACTGTGATCCAGGAAGCACCATGGTGTGCAATATGCCTGAGATGGGACCAAAGCCATTGCCTGCCTTTTACAATCCATACTATTTCACCTTGAATACCGAATCCCTTCTTTATTTCTATTGCATGCACATGTATATGATTTTTTAAATGGACAAAAAAAATCTGATTTTCACCTATTTAAGGTTTATTGTTTTTCTCACACAGCAGTATGTAAAGAGATTTTTATATGAACAGCATCTATGTATCTGGGTACAGAATATAAATAGATCTATGGAATAGATATGAACCTAACCCAGTTTAGCCCTCAGAGACTCTGATTTGATGGAACATTAGCCAGGCTCAAGTAAACTCAGAAGCCATTAAATTGGATTTTTATGCTGTACACCACATTTTTCAGTTCTAATCGTTTTGGTCAGCAGCATACCTTAGTGATGCAGTTCAGATCAATCCCTGTCACACGTAGACATGATTTGATCAATATAGCTTCCACTTTAACTTAACCCTTTTACAGCTGTCTGGTGGAGAAAAGGTAATTAATTTGAAATGCTCCAATTTTTCTAGCTTATGAGAATTTACACTATGTCTCTCTCTGCATTTTGTATCTAATCAAATCTCTCTGTCATGCCAGCAGTGATGAAATTAATGTGAAAGATTGCAAATCCATGTGATATGTTTTCCAGGCTTCTCTGCCTGCTATAGTTGCCCTCTGTTTACCAAGCCACCTTTTTGAATAGTGCAGATCTGCAGGTCAGATTTTCTTATACCCTTTGTTTTAAGTGGGAATAAAGTGGTGAAGGAACATAACAGTCCTGAAACATCACTTTCTTTCTGCCCCTCTCTGTGAATCACCAAATCCCTCTGCTTCCATGAACACTGCAAGACCAGAGCTCCATACTCCAAAGTTCAGAAAGAAAATATCCAGACTTTATAGTTCTGTGCTTGGCTGAACTGCAAGGTTAAAAACTCAACAGGTTTATTCATGCTGATTCCTAGGACCATGTGTTTTTTACATATATTTCCAGCTAGCAACTTCTTTGTATCTTAGGTCTTAGGGCTTTTGCATAGTGTTTAGGGTGAGCCTGGAATATCTGCCAGGGTTGTAGCTCCCTTGTTGCTCCATATGTGCAAGACTGAGTGGAGGAGAGCTTGCCCCATGCTGAAGCTGAGTCCGCACTTGAACATGTCCTTGTGCATTAGCTAAAGCCTGGCTTTGATAACCAGGATTGAGCCAGTACATCACCATGAATGCAGACACATGCTCTGAGCTCCAGACATGAGAGCTTGTGACATGGTGTCTTTCACCTTTGCCAAAGAGGTCCTTTCCATCTTTGTGCTGGGACCCAGAACTTACCTGTAATCCCAGGAGATTTTGCGTTCCCATGCTTCCTGTGGTCAGACATGTACATAAATGCATTCACAGATTCCACTAGCTTGGGCTGTGCTCCCTTCCTGTATCCTCAGCTCTCTAGTTACTGCATCATTCAGAAGTCCTCTTGTTTCTCTAGGAAAATCTGAACCTGGCCCTGAACTCTGCCTCAGCCATTGGGTGCCATGTTGTTAACATTGGAGCTGAAGACCTGAAAGAAGGGAAACCTTACCTGGTTTTGGGTCTTTTATGGCAAGTCATCAAAATTGGACTGTTTGCTGACATAGAGATCAGCAGGAACGAAGGTATGTATGGCTCTTCATTTCAATGCTCTACTGTTATTACTGAACAGTACTTAATATAGACCCTCACTGGGTCAGGAATGATGGTCTACACCCAGGTATATTGCTTTTTTGGCACTAAATCTGGGAGAAGGAAATGCTACACTGAATTCAGGAAGCTTTGTTTTTTTCTTGCTTTTGATTGCCAAACATCTCCTCTTTCTTTGTGAAATCAGTATTATAGAATCATAGAATAATTTAGGCTGGAAGAAACCTTCAGAAGTCCACCCTGGAGGTCCTCTGGTTCAGCCATCCAGCTGCCCACTTACAGCAGTACCAGTCTCAAGGTCAGATAAGGTTGCTCAGGGCCTTTTCCAGTGCCCTCTGAGCAGCCTGTTCCAGAGCCCAACCACTCTTACTGTGATTTTTTTCCTTATATCCATTTGGAATTTCCCTTCTTGCACCTTGTGACTTTTAACTTCTCATCCTTTTGCTGTGCGTACTGGGAAAATGCAGCTCTGGCCCCTCTATAATTGTTAAGGACAATACTTATTCCCCTCTCAGACCTGTTTCCAGGCTAAACAAATCCAATTTTCTCATCCTCTTCTCATACACCATGTACTCCAGCTCAATCATCGTGGTGTCCCTCCACTAAACTCACTGCAGTTTGTCAATGTCTCTCTTGTACTGGGGAGCCCCAGACTAGACACCACACTGCAGATGTGTCTCACCAATGCCAAAATTCTCTGTGAAATAGCTTCAGCGTGAGGCTATGGGTGTGTACGTGCAGTCCACACAGCACCTCATCTTGCTGCTTTGCTCCCTATGCCTCTGGATAGTCCGCTCAACCAACAAAGACACTTCTTTCCTCTAGTTACTATGCAGATGTTACCTTCATCGCTTCAATCTTTGCACATTTCTATCTCTTTCATAGCCAGAGCCACCAGTTTCCGGAGTTCCCAGTTCCCATTCCTTTGTAGGTAGCCTTACCCTGCTTAATAGCTATTTTTCCCTTTCTGATATTTTCCCCTTCATTTCTCATCTCAGACTTCAGTTTGTCAGCTGAAGACAAGCCAAGATAATTTTGATATATTCATAGGTTCTCTCTTTCCTTGATAGCCCTTTTCTGCAGCTGTTCCAGGTGAAATTCCCCTTTCTTGAATTTGGGACACTGTATTTCCAATGAGCTGTCACGAGTGCATGCTATCAAGGCAGTAATACATCCCAACATCTATGGGAAATACCTGGGATGCACTAATGTCATGTTTGGTTTTCTCTTGCTCATATCAAATGGTGGCTCAGACTAGCTCAGAAGACATCTAATACACTCAAGTTGTTCTCATCCTCTGTCCGTATAAGCTTTTAGCTAATAGCAAATATTCATGTTAATTCCCTAGTGAATGTCTTTGAACATGGCACTATTAAATTACATTCCATTTTTATTACTGTCATCTAGTTCTTTCTGTCTGATTTCCTGATCGTCCTCTGTATTGACTATGCCACCTAGTGAATATCACCATCAAATTTTTAGCACATTTCTAGCATTTGTGCCAAGATAATTGATGCAAAAAAATGAAAACATTAATCCAAAAATCAATCCATTATCAGCTGCACAAGAATCTTTCTTCCAGCCTACTTCTCTCAGTGTTAACACTGTTCTCTTCGTAAGATCCACTGTCTACTTTCACATGCTTCTTCTGGTTCAGTTTAACCCCATAGCACCCTATATGAAATTATCTATGGAACTCCAGATAAAAATGGTCTCCACTGTTTCCTTTATGTAACAAATCCATATTTCTTTCAAGGAATGACAAAAGATATCAGAAGTAGATCAGAGTATACTCACCCCTTTTATCACATTAACAATTAGTTCCCTTGCTCTTAGCTCTTCTTTTCAAAACTTGTTCTAAAGCCTTTCATGCTTCAGAGATCAGTTGAACATCCTGCAGTTGCAAGGGTCAGTCCTTCCCTCCTGCCTCTTCTTTTATGAAAATAACTACGATAATTTTTCTATATAAATAGGGTATCTTCTCCAATTGACAGATAAGTTAACCCTACTGGCCCATGAAGTCATGTGTAGATTCTTCATAATACCTATGTGGATCCAGTTTCAGTGTGAAGGTCACTGAGATTTCTTTCATCTAAGCTGCAGAAAGTCTGTGCTCATTTTTTCATTCCCGTCTTTTGCCTGTGTTCAAAATAATTTTCATTAAGATCTGAGGCAAGGAAATTGGGTATCTCTTAGACCATACTGAAATTGTTCTGAAATACTGAAATACTTCTATATGATCCACTACTAGATCCACAACTAACAACCTTGTCCTCATTTTATTGATGAGACCCTTTTTTCTGTTTAGGTCCTCTGTCATGCTAACTGAGCTTGAATTTTGGCAACACTTTGGTCGCTCACTTTTAGAAACTAGGGTAGCAAAATGTGTATGAAAGAAAATAGTTATATATTCCCCTCTACAAGCATTCACAACACATTACTTTTTACATCACTGTAATTTAATCACATCATTAATTTTTTTATTTTTCCCTTCCTTAGCCTTGATTGCTCTTCTGAGAGAAGGGGAGAGCCTGGAGGATCTGATGAAGTTGTCTCCAGAGGAGCTGCTGCTGAGGTGGGCAAACTACCACCTGGAGAATGCAGGATGCAACAAAGTCACCAACTTCAGCTCAGACATCAAGGTATGAGAAACACTGACCTACAGTAGCAAAGCAGCAGCTCCACACCCAAATCCTGCCCTCCAAACAGATTGTGCACTGAAACAATCCAAGCAGCTGATACTGCTCTGGCAAACATTAATTTTAGTGGGATTTACCTTTCCGCTCAGTAGTATTACTCTTCCTCCCGACCTCCCAGTCATCACTGCCAGCCCCAGCACACCAAATGCCTGGGAAATTAATGGCTCTGGACAGGGCATACGGATTCTACCACTGTATTTTCAGTTCCCTGCTTCTATTGCTCTGCCCCATCCTAAATGTTCTTAAATGCCTTGATCTGGCTTTGGTTTGGAAAAGGCTGGACCTTACCCAGACATATAACTAGGTGTAGGGGAAGAGGATGGTGCTCTTCCAATTCCCCAGCTTGATCTTTCCTTCTGTACAGCACCTGGGTTATATGCTCCTCTGGCCCATCCTTTGCTATAACCCTGCATGCAAGTTACCTGCAAGTTTTAATTCAGTGAGGCTATTCAGAATAATATAGCTAGATGGGGAGGCACTAACAAGAATAGGTCTCTAGTCCATGGAGCGTATTTCTTGTACTTGGGACTTCGTGGGCTTGTGGGTGCAGATTTCAGCAGAGCTTTTTCTGTGAGACCTTCATACTTCCTAGGTATTTGAATGTCAGTGTTGCACACTGATGAGTTTCAGATACTGAAGCTATAGTGTGAGGACCAGCCAGCATCTCAGGGCTGTAGGGGGTACATCAGGGGAGGTGTCTGAGTTGGGTTTCAGGCAAGCCAAGGGCTGGCTGGCACACTGACCTCACCAGCCATGACCTGACCTGTCCACTCCCAACATAGCATGGGAAAAGCCTAGCTCCATTGATGCCTGGTTGTAGGCTTCCCCAGGAACTGAAGCATGAAAAGTCATTTACCATTGCTTACTTGACATAGAGAAGAAAGCACCAGGGAAGACAACAGGTGAGGCTGAGAGTCACATTCGACAATACAGTTTTTATTGTTACAGAGTTTTGGTCCACTGGGCGGAGGTGTCTGGAGAATATCCATGGAAAGGGAAGGGAGTGGAGTCTTTCCCATCTTTCTGTAGGCTGGCTGAGAGGACTATAATGCCACAAATTAAATCCTATCTGCAACAGAAAGATAAATCGCACTTACCACATTTACAGTTGGAAAATAAAGTGCAGGCTTACCTCTCAGAGGCCAAGCAGCCATTCTCTAAGTGGTGATGTTAACTTTGTCTCCCCCCCTCACTTCTGTTATAAATAACCACTTTCTAGATATGGTGTGTAGCAATGCAGATGTATAATATTATTTTAAATAATTCGCGGAATCTGCTTTATGTTTTGAAGAGTTGGGTTAGTTAGTCAAATCCCTAGACACTAACATGTAGCCTTATTTTCAGTTCTTTGAGTTATTTCTGAAGTGAGATTAATATTTTCCATACATGGAAGCAACATTACATTTCACAGAAGATTAAAGACACAACATGTTAAATCCTTGTCTTGTTTCTGCCCTTTTGCCTGAAAAATGCTGATACTGTTGTCGCTTTTAACTTTTGTCCTTGAAATCTATGCTTTCTCTTCCATAACTGTTCCAGCGTTGCTTTGAAATCTGCTTTAAACATCTGCTTTCTCCTATTGCATTTTCTTTCATTAAATGCTCGGCAGCCTGACTTCTACAGCATTATAAAGGTATGCATTTTCTTATCTTTAATTTAATGTTAATATTAAGTCAATTCTAATATCTCTTTGTTGTTGCTGCCCTTTTCGTAAGTGCAACACACAGCATTTTGTCTCGTGCATTGAGCATTCTGTAGCATATATATATTGGCTTAGAGAAGAAATAGATCTGGGAAATACAGCATAAAGTAGGAATTTCTAAGTGCTTCCAACTATTTAATTTAATTATGTAGCCCAATGACTGATGTAATAAAAATGAAGCATGCAGGCACATTGTTCTGGGGACCACTAGCATGCAAAACCCGTGCTTTAGATGTAATTTTTTCTGCCTTTAATTTCTCTACCACAGGACTCAAGAGCTTATTACCATTTGCTGGACCAAGTTGCCCCCAAGGGAGATGAAGAAGGCATTCCGGCTATTACTATTGACATGTCAGGATTAAGGGTAAGATGAGATAAGTTTAGAGTAAATGCCGATATTTTCTGTCCATTACTTGCAATGCTGGCAAACACAGAGTTGCACTGGGATGCCAGAACAAGCAAACTGTTTCTAGCATTGCAACATGATCTTATATTTCAGAAATCAAAGCTTTCAAAGAATTAAATGACGTGTTTTGCCTTTCATTAGATATTATCACTGAAATTTTAACAACCATTGAACCACACTGATAAACTACTAACAAGTAGCAAGTATATTTAAATATATTTCATTGGGAATTTCATCAATCCATCCCATTTTATATGAAAAATGCAATATAGCGAAATTGGATTCTTAATAAAACCCATTTGAAAACACAAACCTGCTGTTAGTAAGAGTGGGAAAGGAAACGGCTACAAATCCAACAAAGACCTGCTTTAACAGCCCCACACCTAGCTCTATGCATGGAGACCTCAAATGGGTTTTGCATGCAGTGCAAAGCTGGGTGGTGAGGTTGATGCCCCCTTTTCCGCCGGGACAGGAGAAGGACGACGTCCAGCGAGCAGAGTGCATGCTGCAGCAGGCAGAGCGGCTGGGCTGCCGGCAGTTCGTCACGGCCACCGACGTCGTCCGGGGGAACCCAAAGCTAAACCTGGCCTTCATCGCCAACTTGTTCAACAAATACCCTGCACTGCACAAGCCGGAGAACCAGGACATCGACTGGAGCTCTATTGAAGGTAGGGAAAATGCAAACAAAAGATGTTTCTGGCTATTGGTGTGACAATATCCCAGCTCTTAGTTGATGATACATTAACTTAGCCTTATGTCCTTCAGACATATATTCACTGCACGGTTAGCACAGGCTTCCTTGATAAAAACGAAGCTGCTCTTTACCTGCATGTAGCTTTGGGAATTTTGGGGGTCTGTTCTGTGGAGAGCACATACTAAAAGATGAAAATGTTTATGAGATGTCTGAACCAGTATTGAGACTGTCGAGTATTGGACTATTGAGTGTACTTGTTAGTTGAAATTAGAGTTGATCTAGCATTCTTTTAATGACAAATAGAATTTAAAAATCATATCTTGCATAAACCTACTGCCTGCTTGCTCTGGGTTTGGGTCAGGACCACCATTGTATGGATCATTTGCTGAACTTCAGGTCCTTCTTTCTCACCCTCAGAGTGAAACTGTTCATGCTAGAGCACAGGCTGTTCTTCAATTCTTGAAGGCATTTCAAGGCCAGTCTGCCTCAATACTATAATATATAGGTCATGAAGAAATATTACATGCTGCAGTGTGCTCTCTTACTTCTCATGTCAACCAGTGTCTCCTTCTGTTTATGGTTCAGCGCGCTGTTAAGTCTGAGTTATGGTTTCATCACAAGACACTTATTTTACGGGAGTGTTGTGTTTTGTGGATCTGTTGATTGATGTATCTGTTGTTTCAGGTGAAACAAGGGAAGAGAGGACGTTCAGGAACTGGATGAACTCCCTGGGTGTTAATCCACGTGTAAATCACTTATATAGGTAAGAAGAGGTATTAACACTTCCCTCAGATGATAAACACAGCCAGAAAATTGTTTACAGAAACATAAAAACATTTGGAGCCTATAGGAGTTTATGCTTAGGATTTTGGTGGGTTTTTTTAGGAAACTAAGTTGACCTCTGCTAATAGTTTGGTTCCTTTCTTCTGTTCTTTGGACAATAATATATATTTTTTACTGTTTTCAGTGACCTGTCAGATGCCTTGGTTATCTTCCAGCTCTATGAAAAGATCAAAGTGCCAGTAGACTGGAACAGAGTGAACAAACCACCATATCCTAAACTGGGTGGCAACATGAAGAAGGTACAAAAAGGTGGAATAGCTCCAGTGCAATGCCTTATCCTCAAAGGATATCTATATTATTTCAAACAGCAACATGGGCACTTACGTTGCTCTCAGATCCCAAGTACAGCACATTAAATTATTTTTTGTCTAGTCAGTGATTAGTTCTTCATCCTGAAAAGGAAACATACATCTGACTCACTAGTTCTGTTGACAGGTGAACAATATTTGTAAAGTAAAAAGACCTGACAACTTTTGTGTCAATATTTAAAAACTCTACTTGCAGACCACTTTTGCTACTGTTTTAGTTACCAATTGTAATGCATCTTCACCTTGAATCATTTGGCACCAGTTTAATTGCAGCTATCTGGATCACTGCCCTCCACATCAAATGAAGACAGTGATGATAAAGATTCTTGACCACATGCCTCAAGAACCCATCACAGAGTTGTTGCTAAATATGCAGCTTTCTCCCAGCTATCTGGATGAGTAATTCCCTCCAGTTTGGTCAGAGTGATTAAATGACCTAAAATATTGACTGGGACACTAATCCTTTTTCTCAGTGCAATGCCATGATGCTGGAGGTACCTGTGAGACACAGATTTGTATATTCCAGAGTAATCTTTTTTCGGGTCCTGCTGATGAACTATAATATTTCCTTCTATGTTAACTGTTTACCATGGTATTTTGGGGATGGAACTGGCTGCTGGTAGTCATGTAGCTGTATTACCACAGAGCTCCTGTTTGCCCAGGAGGATCTGGGCTAAGCAATCCAAAGAATTCAAATAACAATGTCTTGTCATCTTTTCTTCTATATTTTTGAACCACACTAATTGACCCTGTCATTAACAGCTTGAAAACTGCAACTATGCAGTGGAACTGGGAAAGAATCAAGCCAAATTTTCCCTTGTTGGCATCGCTGGGCAAGATCTGAATGAAGGAAACCGTACACTCACACTGGCCTTAATCTGGCAGTTGATGAGAAGGTATGGCAGTCAGACGTAAACTTTGGCGGGTTTTAGTATACTCTGGTGGGTTTTAGTATACTCAGTGTGCATTGTAACAGTTTCATGATGCTATCACCAAGAAGGGTCTACAGGCTACAGCTTTCTCACTCCACTGCTTGTGCTTCAGTGCAAAGACAGAGTAACCTTTTGCTCACTCCTAGTTAGGGATGTGATCAGGCAGCACATTATCTTGTGGGAAAGGCCATTACAGTCAGCTCACACAGAAGATTATTATTATTGTCACTATCTGTAGAGCATGAATAAATGTGCATTGCATGGAAGAGAGGAAAAGAAGCTGAAAGGTTTCTATATCAGGGAATGGGAAGAATATACTGGAAACAAGGAATTGATGCAGAAGTTTTGTAATTTGCTATCTGAAGCGGAAGCAACTCAGTACCTCTCTGCACTCTAATGTAATTCTATGAGAATGTGTGTATGTGTCTGTTTGTGTGTGTGTTTAAGAGCTCTATAATTGGGTGTAAAGACATCCAGTGATTAGGAAATGAATACAGACTAAATTCAGTCTATGAAGCAAGATATAGGTTTATCAAGCAGGTAGTTAATCTAGGGATGTAGTAATTACTTGCCATCAGGTTGGGATGTCTTTCCAAGGTGTATGCTTACATTTAAGCAAGAAAAATCAGCTCGTCAATCTTAGATAAGCATAAGAATTCCCTTCTGGCCTTCAAGTCAGTGATTATTTTTTCAGGTACTACAAGAATGAGTCATTTACACCAAGATCCACTAAGAGGGACCTTTTAGGAATTTTCAGTATCAAAAAATTGTGATACTCTCAAAACAGTGATTAGAGAATTGGAGATGAATTAGAACCACTAGACTAATTATCATGTTATAATTCATATACACTGTGAGCGTGTGGAAAGCAGGGGAGTATCAGGCCTAAGAGGACTGTTGGGGCAATCCCAGCCAAGTTGCGCACATACAGCATGGTTCTGCATTTACAGTAGAATTTGAGCAAATGCAGGTATCCTGGTTTCCCTCCTAAGGTACACCCTGAATATCCTTGAAGACATTGGTGGTGGAGAGAAGGTGAATGATGAAATCATTGTCAGCTGGGTCAATGAAACACTGACTGCAGCTGGGAAGGATTCAACCATCTCCAGTTTCAAGGTACAGTTTTTTCTTGGAAGTCTCTGCTTAGGAATCTCTTATTCAGTGTGTTTGTGTGTATGTTATATACATTGCTTGTATATAGATGTATATGCGCATATACATGCACACAATATATTATTATATAATTAACTACATAGTTTGATTGTTTTTCATTCCCTTTTAAAGTCATGTTCAGATATAGACATTTTATTCAAGGGGCTTTATTATGAAAAGGTAACAGAAACATGATACGTAAGAAACACCTTGAATGCCAGTTTGACATAGGAAAACTAAGTACAGAGTCAGGAATGATGACTGGAATTAAGCTAGAATCGCTGTGCTGCTGATTATTAAATGACAGCAATTACAAATGACAGTATTAAAAAGAACAATAGCAATACTTTTATAATACAGTAGTACCATTCAGGGGTGGTTGCCCTATTTTGCAAGGCACCTTATAAACACAGAGTCAGACTAATTCCGGAGAGCTTCTGATTTTGCTAGCACATCTGAGACACTTCCAAGCTGGGGAACGTTCAGTGGATGTAAATCAGCAGTTTGCACCAGGTGAGGACAGATCACAGAATCACACAGAATCACAGA